CTTGAGCCACAGGCACCGAGCCCAGACTTCCTTTCTCTCTACAATGAGGACAGCCAATGACAGCTGATGCTCCTGTAGTGTGGGTTCTAGGAGAGAGCAGTAAGAGCAGTGCCCAACTGACCCCAATGGGCATGTTCCATAAATAAGAAATACATAGGCCAGGTGTGGTGGCTCATGCCTGTAATCCTAGTACTGTGGGAGGCCAAGGCAAATGGATTGCCTGAGCTCATGGGTTAGAGACCAGCCTGAGCAAGAATGAGACCCCATTTCTAAAAATAGCCAGGCATTGTAGCAGGCACCTATAGTCCCAGCTACTCAGGAGGCTGAGGCAAGAGAATCATTTGAACCCAAGAGTTTGGGGTTGCTGTGAGCTATGATGCTACAGCACTCTACCAAGGGCAACAAAGTGAGACAAGAAAAGAGAGAGAGAGAGAAGAAGAAAAAAAAAGAAAGAAAGCTTGCTGTAGCATCGTTTCCTGTCCTGACTGATAAAGTTGTTTTCTGTTTCCACATTTACTGACACTGGCACTGAGCAAGATCATCTCATCATTACAAGAACCCCACGAAAGGGGGTACTGATAGGTGAGGTACAATGGACTGTTTGTTTCTCCCAAAACTCATGTTGAAGCCTCACCCCCAATGTGATGATGTTAGAAGATGAGGCCAGGCAGCACCTGTGGTTCAGGGGGTAGGGTGCTGGCCCCATATACCGAGGGTGGCAGGTTCGAACCTGGCCCTGGCCAAACTGCAACAAAAAATAGCCAGGCATTGTGGCGGGCACCTGTAGTCCCAGCTACTCAGGAGGCCGAGGCAAGAGACTCACCTAAGCCCAGGAGTTGGAGGTTGCTGTGAGCTATGACGCCACCACACCTACTGAGGGCAACAGTTTGAGACTCTATCACAAAAAAAAAAAAAAACGGGGTGAGGACTTCAGGAGGTAATTAGGTTATGAGCCCTTGGTTGAATGGGTTTGGTGCCCTTATAAAAAGAACCCCAGGGCTGCGCCTGTGGCTCAAAGGAGTAAGGCGCTGGCCCCATATGCCCGAGGTGACGGGTTCAAACCCAGCCCTGGCCAAAAACTGCAAAAAATAAATGAATAAATAAAAGGAATCCCAGAGGGGCAAGGGCAGCCAAAGACTAGTTAATGAATGCAAAAGCACACCAGACAGAGGAATAAGCTCTAGTGCTCCATAGCCCTATAGGATGACTATAGTTAACAACAATGTATTCTGTAGTGTTAAATTGTTAGAAGAGTGAATGTCAAATGTTTTCAACACAAAGAAAGGGTAAAGGTTTGAGATGATGGATATGCTAATTACTTTGATTTGATCATTACACATTGTACACACATATCAAAATATCACCCTGTACCCATTGCATAAATATGTGCAATTATTGTGTCAATTAGGAATAGTAATAAAGACAAATTAATTAATTAATTAAAGGGACTCCAGAGAGCCCTCTTGCCCTGTCTCCACTATGTCCGGGCACAGTGAGAAGTCGGCAGCCCACACTCAGAGGAGGCTCTCACCAGAGCTCTAACGTGAACAGCTCTAATGCCACGCCAGCACCAGGATCTCAGACTTCCAGCCTCCTGAACTGTGAGATACAAATTTCTGATGTTTACGCCCCTTAGGTTGTGGCAATTTGTTATAGCAACCCTAACTAAACAGAATAAGTGGAACTGATGAAGATATAAAGTAACCAAGACTCAGACAAGCAACTTGCTCCACCTATGTTTTTAGGAACTGGGACCACACCCAGCCTACACCTGGCATCCAGAAGCTCAATGAATATGATGAAGCCACAGCCTCACTGTGTGCCTTCACCAGTCCTTCCCCTCCCCACCTTCTGTCCCTTCCTTGCTCCCAGCTTCTTGGCAAGGTTAAGCTAATTGGTTCCGGCCTCTTCAATTGGATGTATCTCCCAGCTGCTGGATATGGGGCCTACCCCCTCCTCATCCCTCCCTTTAGCTCATTCTTCCTTCCCCAGTGCAGCAGAATGGAACATGATACCACCCTTGCACTCCCCCCAATATAAATATTCCATGGGATGGCAACTGGCCACCTCTGCTATCAGTGTCTCCAGCTCTGTGACCTAGATAGTGTCTGACGCACATGGCCTGTCACCCTGCCCCCGCCCAGGCGCTCCTGGCCCTGCCTGCTGACATGCTGAGGTATGTTCCAGAGGGTAGATGGTGGCACCGAGAATGAGAGAGAGATGGTTGTGTCTCCAGCATCCCACAACTCTGATATAGAGAATCAGCTAGAAAGCATGTCAGGGCCTATTCTACTCCTTGGCACAAAACTGCCAAATCTTCATTTCCCCTTTTTTCTTGATATGACCATCCCTACCTTTCCCCCCACTGCCCACCAAGACTTGCCTTACCCCTGCCTCAGCTTCTCCTTTATCATAGAGAAACTACTGAGAAGAGGGGGATGGTAAGGGGATAAGCAGGGAGCTCTGAAACCAGGTAAGTGGACTGAGTACAAGATTTGGAATCAAAAGTGTGTCACTCACAGCCCATGTGCTAAAAGAGAAGTTACCTACTAGGAGCCTTATCTGTAAAAGAAAGAAATTTCTACCTCATTAGGTTGCGATACAGCTTCTCCAGATAATACATATAAAGGAATTTTGTAAATAATTATACTTACATAAATGGCTCAATAAAAATGTCTTGGGAATATATCTAGTTTCTTGGGACCTGCTGCTTTAATTCTCTAGGTCCTCAGTGGCCAGCTGATTTGCTATAGCCTTAGCCAAGTCTCATCCTTTTTCTCAGCCTCAGATTCTAGATCTATAGCTGTGGGAAGGTCTCTGAGGTCACCTTCACCTCTGCAGTCTTAAGTCTGCTTTTGTTGGTCTGGGATACAGATCTTAGTTGCATTCTCTGTGTTAAGGATCAACTATTTCTCATTCTAACCAAGGATGTCAAAACTCTAGGCCCCTGCAAAAACATGGACAGTGTGTGTGTGTGGCCCTGAGGGTGGGCAGGCACCAAGTTACCAGAAGTTGTAGGACAAGGTCTTGGGCTATCTCTTCCTGGGTTCCAGAAGAGAGATGGACCAATTGGCCCAAGGATCAAGAGTACTATCTAGGCCAAGAGCAGAAAATGGAGCAAAGAAGGCCTTGCCTGAGGGCAACGTAAGCAGCTGCCTCCTACCCTGAATAGTTGTTTGTTTTTTGAGACAGAGTCTCATTTGGTCACCCGCCCTCAGTAGAGTGCCCTGGTGTCATAGTTTACAGCAACCTCAAACTCTTCAGCTCAAGTGATTCTCTTTCGTCAGCCTCCCAAGTATCTAGGACTACAGGTGCCTGCCACAACACTCTACTATTTTTAGAGACAGGGTTTTCGCTCTTGTTCAGGCTGGTCTTGAACCCATGAACTCAGGCAATCCACCTGCCTCAGCCTCCCAGAATACTAGGATTATAGGCATGAGCCACTTCGCCTGGCCTACCCTGAATGGTTTTTTTTTTTTTCATTAGTGGATTTTTTTTTCTTTTCTTTTCTTTTCTTTTTTTTTTTTTTAGAGACAGAGTCTAAATTTGTCGCCCTCAGTAGAGTGCCATGGCATCACAGCTCACCTCCAACTCCTGGGCTTAGGCAAGTCTCTTGCCTCAGCCTCCCAAGTAGCTGGGACTACAGGCATCCGCTACAATGCCCAGCTATTTTTTTGTTGCAGTTTGGCCAGGGCAGGTTCAAACCCGCCACCCTCGGTATATGGGGCCGGTGCCTTACCCAGTGAGCCACAGGCACTGCCCAGTTTTGTTTTGTTTTTTAATTTTATTTTTTTTTTGAGACACAGTCTCAAGCTGTCGCCCTGGGTAGAGTGCCATGGCATTACATGTCACAGCAACCTCAAACTCTTGGGCTCAAGCAAGTCTCTTGCCTCAGCCTCCCAAGTTTCTGGGACTATAGGCATCTGCCACAATGTCCGGCTATTTTTTGGTTGTAGTTGTCATTGTTGTTTGGCAGGCCTGGGCTGGATTTGAACCCGCCAGTCTCGGTGTATGTGGCTGGCGCCCTAGCTGCTTGACCTACAGGTACTGAGCCTCCCTGAATAATTTTAAAGGCCCCTGGGTAGCTTCCTCCACCCCACAAAATATCACTCCATGTGCTACCTGAAGTAAGGACTCTCATAATCAGAAAACATAGATTTGTACTCTATGATGAAAGTGAGGGCTTTAGATGCAAATTTCTATTCATACCCAACATAATAACATTCCAAAATCAATGAATAACCTAGAACCCTCTTTGAGAGCAGTTTGAGATGTAAGGGAAGGAGTGAAGGCAGGGTTCTGGGCATACTCAAGGGAGAAAAATGAAAAACCAGAAGTGGGAAATGAAGGCATCTAGAATGTGCTTGGCTAATGTCACTATTTCTCTCTGGGGTCCTATTCTCACATGGCTAATAACAGAATCTTCCTTATTTCTCTCTCCCAGAGCTGCAACAACTGGTGTGGTGGTCTGGGAGGCAGGACCAGGGTCTGTATGCTTCTGAGCAAGTCACTTTCCTTCCCTGGGATCAATACTTCATCTGTAAGAGGGGGGGGGGTATATGGTTTCATCTAAGGTCCTTTCTGCTCCGGCCATTCTAAGATTCTGTACTCTTCATAATTTTCTGCAGAACACAAAGTACGAGTGGACTATAGGAGGACAGCCAAGTGCAACACCCAGAGCCTCCCCAGAAGATGGATGGTGCAACTACAGCTGTGATCTGGGCGCCCCTACCTGCCCTCCCACCATCCCTGCTCACCTGCAGCCAGCTGCATCCATGCACAGATCTTGTAGACAGTGGCAGTGTTGCAGATGAAGAACAGGCTGAAGCAGATGATGGAGCCAATGATGAGGAACATGCCCAAGGCCACGAAGAACATGGCAGTCTTGAAGGCTCTGGAGGGGATGGAGGAGAAATCCAGGGGACCACCCTTGCAGATGAGCTCGGAGGACAGCACGTTGCCCACGCAGTAGGAGAAAAGGCCAAAGTAGCCTGCCTGCGGTGTGTTGACGCTGTCCCCGATCCAGTATGGCTGGATGAAGAGGGCCATGACCAGCACAGAGAAGCAGATGGTGAGCGTGCCCCACATCACGCCCACTGCCCGCGAGTTCCGCACATAGTTGGTATGGTAGATCTTAGCTGCCTCCTGGGCAGGCAGCAACTTCACCATGGTGAGAGCAGCAGGCCCGGGGCTGGAGGCCTGTAAGCTGCAACTCCCTGGCTTTGTAGGTGAAGGCCCAGAAGTGGGTCACTCCTAGGCAGGTTGGGGAGGAGCCTGAGGACAGGACAGAAGGTGAGGGTCCCTTCAAGGCAGAGGGAAAGAGGCTTAAAAGCACAAGGACATCCTTGGCTTCGTCGGAGGAAGCCTGCCAAATGCCTGAGTGCGCGCTAGCCGGGCCTGTCTCCTCTCTTGCCCCTCCGAAGCCGACCCCGGGTCTCGAGCCTGCTGGTACCGCCCTGCCCCCTCCCGGTTACCAGCCCACGGCTCCAGAGAGCCCCGCCCCCGTGCCCAGGCCGGGCCCTCCCTCCTCCCTCGTCGGAGAAGCCGCTTCAGCACCGCGGCCAGCGCCCCGGGACTCAGGGGGAAGGGGCGGGGCCTGCGGTGCGGAGCCGGGGAAGGGGCGGGCCAGGCGCGAGGAGGCGCGGGAAGCAGCCGCGCCCGCCCCGCACGCCTCGGCCGCGGGAAACTCAGACCTCTCCTCAACCCTTTGAGCGGGGATGACAAGATGTGGGAGGGTGGGGCTGCGGTTGTCACATTCTTCCCTCTCAGTTACAGCCGCAAACTCATTACCCCCTCAAAATCGTTGCCCACGTCCCACCTACCGCTCCCTGGCTCCCCAGTCCGCCCTCCAGGAACCTCCAAAACTCGACCCCGGAGGTCAGCAAAGCCTTTCCTGATTGTGTCGTCCTGTCATTCAGTAAGCGATTACTCTATGTGTTAAGCCTCTGTTGGAGGACATCTTCTCTAATACATGTGTAAATATGGGTATGTATGCATCACACGTATAATACCTGTACATGCAGCCTGGGAGTATAACAACAGAAGCATCTGCAAATACAGCAAAGGGCATTTTTTCATGAGCCTTCCCAGACCATACCATACATTCTTTGTCTAATGTAATGCCTCTCTCCCCTTATTTGTATGTATTACTTACTTACATATTTCCTTTTCCCTTTAAAAAAAATACTTATTCTGGGGCGGCGCCTGTGGCTCAAAGGAGTAGGGCGCTGGCCCCATATGCCAGAAGTGGCGGGTTCAAACCCAGCCCCGCCAACAACTGCAAAAAAAAAAAAAAAAAATTATATTTATATATATATATATATATATATCTGATTTTATAGGTCAATCCATGGCTAGTAGAGAGGATTAAGAAAATTAAAGAAAGTATACATAAGAAAATGAAAAGCCTTCATAACCCCAACATGGAGAGTTAAGGAGAGACAAGATCATCTTAAAAACATGGACTTTGACTTTAAACAGACTTGGATTTGAGTCAACTACTGTGTTTTCCTGAAAATAAGACACTGTCTTATATTTATTTTTTCTCAAGAAAACACACTAGGGCTTATTTTCAGGGGATGTCTTCCTCTTCTCATGGAAATGCATGGTGTTGGCTATGCAGATACATTGTATAGCCATGCCCATCACTAGGTCTTATTATCGGGGTAGGGCTTATATTTAACAAATGCATAGAAATCCTGCTAGGGCTTATTTTGGGGGTAGGTCTTATTTCAGGGAAACATGGTACCTATTAGCTACTTATTAGTCCAGTTCATCCATGGACTTAACCTTCCTAAGCCTGTTTCTTTATCAATAAAATGCAGGTAATTATAGTATCATATATTAGGTAAAATAATGTACGTAAAATGTTTAACTCAGGGCATCACATATAAAAATGCTCAAAAGGGCTCAGCACTAGTAGCACAGTGGTTACAGTGCCAGCCACATATACCGGGGCTGGTGGGTTCAAACTGGGCCTGGGCCAGCTGGACAACAATGACAGCTGTAATAAAAATAATAGCCAGGCGCTGTGGCAGGCACCTGTAGTCCCAGCTACTTGGGAGGATGAGCCCAAGAGTTTGAGGTTGCTGTGAGCTGTAATGCCATGGCACTCTACCCAGGGTGACATAGTGAGACTCTATCTCCAAAAAAAAAAAATGCTCAAAAGCTTTGATGATAATGATGATGTCCCCTGTTAACATTTTCATACATTTCCCTTCTTTTGTGCATACTGCTTTACACACTTGGATAAGAATGTATATACAATTTTAAATATATTTTTCCACTTGGAATTATACTATTAATATTTTCTCATATTAATTTTTTTGTAAACATGATTTTAAGGCTTGTGTAATGATGCAAAGCATTATGTATCTACCATAAGCATTTAATCATTTCCCTTTGGTGTGTTTTGGCAGTTTCCACTTTTTCACTATGAAAAAAAAACTCGCCTCAAGCATATTTGTGTCTTTTCCAGGGTTTCTTCTTTGTCCTAAGCCTCTTCTTTGCCTTTGTGACCAATCTTAACCATTAGACTGGAAATTCATCAAGGGCACAGCCTGTGTCTCCACCACCAAACTGGGAGCTTCCCCAGGGACTGTATCTTCTTCCATTCAGAAAAGGCCTTAGGCTGGACCAAGCTCCTAGGAGCTGTGGATTCTCTTTGTTTGGCCCACCGAGGACAGCTTTCCCCTGCTTCCCAGAGCAGCTTCCCCTTCATCCTGGGTTTCTGGTGTGACAGCCAATCACAGGGAAGGCAGACCCTTGAGACAGGGCTGGTGGGTGATCCAGGCTAGGCCTTTAGTGGCTTCCTAGGGAATTCAAATTGGTGGTGGAGTGATCCAAGAGAAAAAAAATGTTGTTGCTTAGTTGGGCTATGGCAATATCCTCAAGAAATGATCCATGAGTTCCTACTTCTGGGCCTCAGAGTCATCCTGACTCCTGCCCTGCTTAAGACAAATCTCCTTATTTCTTCCTCAGCTCTGTAACGCACCCACTAGCCTTCCCTTTGCTTCTCTTTGCTTTCATCAAAAACCAACAAAGTAGGTTTTGTTGGTGGTGTCAAAGAGCCCTAACTGATTCAAATATTGGAACCAGAAAAGGGATTTCCAGGCTGAGCAAAAAGGCTCTGAGACTTCTATTTATGTTTGGAATTGGGGAAATAGCAGTACACAAATGAAAAGCAGCTAATCAAATTATCAGCTATGAACATCAAGACCATGTGGCCTGTGAGGGTCAAGTTCTAGGAAACTAAGTGGCTTTGGCCCTATATAGATTTAAAGGAATGAAGAAATAAGCAGTGATTGGGGTGGCTGCTAATGATGACATTGAATAATTTTAGGCTAGATAAGACCACATGTCCAGATTATTGGTTCAAGGAATAAAATGAAATTCATATATGTGATATGGCTCAAAGAATCTGTTAAGGGCTGTTGCGATGGGATATAGGATCATTAGAATAAGATTCAGGGAATGTGTGCGTGCTGAATTGCAAGGCCTGAACCTATCCCATGCTCCTGAGTGATTACACCAGATCACCTCAGAAGTAGGTAGAATCTTCAACTCAGCCCCCAACCTTGGAGCTAATAGTTAATATACTATGAAGAGCTAAGCCAATGCCCCTGGTGCTCTCCCTTACTTCCCAAATCATAAATCAATAATACTATTATGTCCCAAGGGAAGCTGTAGTAATTAGCCACTACCAATGATGTGAAAAATGCAAGCATGGTGACTCCCATCTCTAGTGGTCATTTGTCTCATTGTTTGGCTTTTTTTTTTTTTTAGCTGACCAGCATCTTAACCCCTTCTTATTTGGGGGTAATACCCTGCTGGGTGAGAGTCCTGGCAGGGCCTCCTCTTTCACGGTGGAAGCCAAATAGGCCAGGTGCCTCTTCCTCTGCCTGCTCTAAAGAGAGCTCTGGTGGCATGCTGGCACCAAAGGAAGGGGACTGCTGTCAAGGGGACAGTGGAGATGGGAAATCTTCATGGAGGCAGGACTTTTAAGTGCTACCACTACCCCCAAAAGGTCCACATCCTGATCCTGAGAACATGCAAATGATACTCTAATTGGAAAAAATTCTTTGCAGATACAGTTAAGGATCTCTCAATAAGGAGATCCCACCAGATTTTCTGAGTAGGCCCTAAATCAATGACAGCAAGTGTTCTCATGAGAGACATGCAGAGAGAATATAGACATAGAAGAAAAGGTGATGTGACCACAATGGCAGAGATCACCATGATGTGGCCACAGCGAAGGAAGCTAGCCACCACCAGAAGATAGAGGCCTGAAACAGATTTTGTCCCTAGATCCTCTGTAAATACTGAAGCCCTGCTGACACCTTGATTTCTACTTCTGGCCTTCAGAATAGTGACAGAATAAATTTCTGTCATTTCAAGGCATCAGGTTTGGTGTGGTTTGTTGTGGCAGCCTCAGGAAACGAATATACCACATACCCTGTAAGGAGAAGGCTTTAGGGACACATGAGCATCACTTTGTGGGCAGTGGCTCATGGACCAGCCAGACAGTCAGCATCTTGGACAGAGTAAGTGTGGAACATTAGGTAAGAGGTTGGAGACAGGAATATGTGGATGGAGTCTTAATAATAGGAGCAGAACCAGAGAGCATGAGGGTCCTATGGGAATGTTCTCTAGAGGCTGCTACCACACAGGAGGCTGTCTATCAGTTGGACAGACTGACTCACTCCATGAACAGGAGCCAGCCTTCTTTTTCAGTACCCCAACCTCCCCCTCCCCCTGGGCTGGCTCAAAGACTGATTACAAGGTGTCCCTGGGTGACAGATGGAGACCACGCATGGATCTTCCACCAAGACTGATACAACCACAGTCCCTATCTGCTCCCAACAATACCAATAAGCCTGGAGACCCCTGCTATGACATCCATGACTCTCAAAATTTAATAATAGAGAAACAACTCAATTTTAAAAATAGGCAAAAAATTTGAACAAATACTTTTTAAAAGATGATATGGGGATGGATGGCAAATATGAAAACATAAAATAATGCTCAACATCATTAGTCAATAAGGAAATGCAAATTAAACATAGTGGCACACCTACTAGGCACACCTGCTAGAAAGGCTAAATTTTAACAATCAAAACTGCTCGGGTGCAGTTGCTCAAGCCTGTAATCCCAGCACTGTGGGAGGCTGA